AGGAATTGCCTTACAGCAGCCTCCCTTCACATAAGGAGGCAGGTGAGAAATAGCCTTGCAGCAGCACTTTCCTTTTCATAATTGGGACGATCACAGGGCGTCTGCTGAGGCTTACATCAGCCTGTGGTTAAACCTTGCCTGTGTGGCCTGTGTGGAGACAAGTACGGTGCTCAGTGGGGCGCTGGTGCAGAGCAGTTTCCCTGCATTGTCGTCCATGGTGAGGGAGGAAGTGACAGAGTGAATTAGAACAATGCAGGAAAAGTGCTGCAGGCATTAGTTTTCAAGCATCTAGAATTTGTGTTCTCTTGGTTGTAGGATAAGCAGTCTACTTCTGTCAAGCTGTCTACTCTGAAAAATGTCTTTTTTTTTGTTGTGAACAGCTTATCCCAAGAAGCTGTGTTTATGAGCAATATCTTTATCATATCATCCCTCCAGAGTACTTGTATACTCTTTTATTGAGGCTTTTGTGTTTCTTCCAGAAGAGTTAGTTTCTAACCTGTAGCTTATAACAGGATCCTTTGTGTGTGTGTCTGCTTAGTCGCAGGAGCCTTTCATTTCAGTTCAGTTCAGTCGCTCAGTCGTGTCCGACTCTTCGCGACCCCATGGACTGCAGCATGCCAGGCCTCCCTGTCCATCACCAGCTCCCGGAGCTTACTCAAACTCATGTCCATTGAGTCGGTAATGCCATCCAACCATCTCATGCTCTGTCATCCCCTTCTCCTGACTTCAATCTTTCCCAGCATCAGGGTCTTTTAAAATGAGTCACTTCTTCACATCAGGTGGCCAAAATATTGGAGTTTCAGTTTCAACATCAGTCCTTCCAATGAATATTCAGGACTGGTTTCCTTTAGGATGGACTTGTTGGATCTCCGTGCACTCCAAGGGACTTTCAAGAGTCTTCTCCAACACCACAGTTCAAAAGCATCAATTCTTCGGTTCTCAGCTTTCTTTATAGTCCAGCTCTCACATCCATACATGACTACTGGAAAAACCACAGCTTTGACTAGACGGACCTTTGTTGACAAAGTAATGTCTCTGCCTTTTAATAAACTGTCTAGGTTGGTCATAGCTTTTCTTCAAGGAGCAAGTGTCCTTTAATTTCATGGCTGCAGTCACCATCTGCAGTGATTTTGGAGCCCCCCAAGATAAAGTCTGTCACTGTTTTGCACTGTTTCCCTATCTATTTGCCATGAAGTGATGGGNTTGATTTGGCACTCCAGGATGTGTGACTCTAGGTGAGTGATCACACCATCATGGTTATCTGGGTCATGAAGATCTTTTTTGTATAGTTCTTTTTGTGTGTATTCTTGCCACCTCTTCATCATATCTTATGCTTCTGTTAGGTCTATACTGTTTCTGACCTTTATTGTGCCCATCTTGGCATGAAACGTTCCCTTGGTATCTCTAATTTTCTTTAAGAAATCTCGTCTTTCCCATGCTATTGTTTTCCTCTATTTCTTTGCATTGATCACTGAGGAAGGCTTTCTTACCTCTCCTAGCTATTCTTTGGAACTCTGCATTCAGATGGGTATATCTCTCCTTTTCTCCTTTGCCTTTAGCTTCTCTTCTTTTCTCAGGTATTTGTAAGATCTCCTCAGACAACCATTTTGCCTTTTTGCATTTCTTTTTCTTTGGGATGGTCTTGATCACTGCCTCCTATACAATGTCATGAACCTCCATCCATAGTTCTTCAGGCACTCTATCAGATTTAATTTCTTGAAACTATTTTTCACTTCCACTGTATAATCATAAGGGATTTGATTTAGATCATACCTGAATGGTCTAGTGGTTTTCCCTACCTTCTTCCCTGCTTTCCTCAATGCTTTCAATAGCTCTAGTCAGAATTCTAAATATGAATGAGTGAGTGGTTTTAAGATATAAAAGTTCTTACACTTTAAGGAGCTTAAGCTGGTTGAGACTGGTGGTAAAAGAAAGGATGCACACCTCTAGGTTTTATTATTTGCATTTAGAATTTTACATACAGACAGTAAAATACACAGTTCTTTAGAATTTTACGTACAGACAGTAAAATACACAGTTCTTAAATGAATTTTTCAGACTTGATGAATTTTTACACAGGTGTATGTAGTAATCACCGTACCCATCTATAGAGAATATTTTAACATACTAAACAGCTCCTTGGTAGTCTTTTTTTTGTTAGTTCTAAGCCTCCAAGAGGTAATTACTATTCTAACTTACATCACCATAGATTAGTTTTGCCTGTTCTTGAAGTGTATGTAAATGGAATCACACAATAGTCTCTTAGGTATAGCTTCTTTTGCTTATGTCTGCAAGATTCATCATATTGTGTTTAGTGGTGTAATAGTTAAGTTTTTCTTTGCTTTATGGTATTCCATTATGTAAATAAAGCACTATTTATCCATTTGCTTGTTCATGGAGATTTGGGTTTACAATTTTCTACCATTATGGCTAAAACTGTTAAAAACTTTCTTATACTTGTCCTTTGGTGAATGTATGCACTCATTTTTCTTAGGCTATAAGATATTATAGTATAAAAGCTCAAAACTTTAAAAATAGCTGGTATGCTGAACCTGTCTCACATGAAATTTTCACATCAGCCTAAATTAGACATACACCTCTGATTTTATGATAGAAACTGGGGAAGAATAACACTGACTTTGCAATCATTTTAGGGTGATATTTTGTGCCTGTTCTAAAATGGCAAGGGTTATGGATATTTTCCATTCAGTCATTCAGTTAACAGAAGGACACTGTGCCAGAGCCTAGAGATACAGCTTTGAAAGACACAGTCACATACTCTGCTTTCACCAAACAGTAAGCGAGTCATTCAAATATAATATATATAGAGTGCAGATATAAACAACTGAGAATTGTTAGGGGAGTACTTAAAATAGAGGGCTTCCCGGTTTCTCAGCGATAAAGAATCTGCCTGCAAGCCGGAGCCACAGAGGTGAGTTCGATTCCTAGGTTAGGAGGATCCCCTGGAGAAGGAAATGGCAATCTCCAGTGTTCTTGCCTGGAGAATTCCATGGACAGAGGAGCCTGGCAGGCTACAGTCCCTGGGGTTGTAAAGAGTCAGACATGACTGAGTAAGCACACACATGTCTTCCATGTAGGTCAGTTGATTAATTTGCATTTTAAAATGTTACTAAACATTTGGGCTGCTATAACTATAAAAATGTCATAATATAAAAATTTGTAGATTTTTGCTTTTGCTGTGAATGTTTTTTACAGATTCAAGTTGAGATATTCTGCTTTTGTGGTTCAGGTTTTATTATCTACTATTAAAATTTGTTTTCTTACTAAAGTTTATTCTTATGATGAGAACTAATATACATAGCTGTCTGTGGGCCAATAAATTAAAATTCCTTCCAGTAGTTAGAATGTTTGCTTCCTAAAGTATTTTAATTTCTCCCTTCTGTCCTTCCTTTTCTTTTTTATGGTAGCTTAGTAGATGGTATTTGGTTGGTGCAAATGTAATTGCAGTTTTGGACCGTGAATTTTAAATCATTATAAGTAGACTCAACACATCTTTATTAAAAAGGGAACCATTACAGTCAACATGTTTTTGCCAACAAGAAATGAGTTTGTTTATTCCTTTAGCATAGAAATCCATGCTTCAGTGTTTGATGAACTCTTAGAAAGCATTTTCTGCATCCTGCTGGTTGTTGGTGTTTTCCCTGCAAAAAGTTGTCTAGGTGCTTGAAGAAGTGGTAGTCAGCTGGTGAGAGGTCAGGTGAATATGGCAGATGAGGCATAGCTTCATAGCCCAATTCATTTAACTTTAGGAGTGCTGGTTGTGTGACATGCAGTCAGTTTGGGCATTGTCACTGAGAAGAATTGGGCCCATTCTGTTGACCAAGGCTGTCTGCAGGTGTTGCAGTTTTCAGTGCATCTCATTGATTTGCTGAGCATACTTCTCAGATATAATGGTTTTGCCCTGATTCAGAAGGCTGTAGTGGACCACCAAACAGTGACCATCACATTTTGTTTTGGTGCAAGTTTGGCTTTGGGAAATGCTTTGGAGTTTCTTCTCGGTCCAGCCATGAAACTGATCGCCAATTGTAATATAAAATACACTTAAATGGTTTGTTGTTGCATACAATAAGAGAAGATGTTCAAAACGATATTTTTTTTTTTTTTGAGTCACCCACTTATCAAGCTTTTTCACTTTTCCAACTTACTTCAAATGCCAAATGACCATACAGTGGTCTATGTTGAGTTCTTTGGCAACTTCTTGATTAGTTTTAAGAGAATCAGCTTCGCTGGTTGCTCTCAGTTGGTCATAGTCAACTTCCAATGGCCATGCTCTTCATCTTTGAGGGTTTCGTCTTTGCAAAACTTCTTGAACCATCACTTCATGTACGTTCATTAGCAGTTCATGGTCCAAATGCATTGTTGATGTTGTGACTTTACTCTGCTGCTTTATGACCCATTTTGAACTAAAGAAGAAAATCACTCAAATTTGCTTTTTGTCTAACATCATTTCTATAATCTGAAATAAATATAAAATAAGCAGCAATAAGTCATTAGCAAAGAAACATAAAGTGAGAAATGCACATTAAAATTATGTATAACATAGCCACATTTACTTAAGAATGTATTCCAATATCAAATGGCAAATTTCAACAATGCAAAACCGCAATTGCTTTTGCACCAACCTAATAATTATTGCAGTGTCACATTTGGACAGTATTGCATTATGCAATCATTCATTTGTTTGGTGAGGGTCAATGCTTTTAATCTAAATCAAAGTTTGGCAAACTATAGCTGCTGAAATTGCTGCTTACATTCTTGAAGGGTGTTTTTAGAAAAGGAGGATTTGCAACAGAAACTATATGTGGCCTGCAGATTTGAAATATGTACTATCTAACCCTTTATAGAAAATTGACCAATCCCTGATCTTACTGAGTATAACTTAAAATCTTGACTCACTTTTCCTTTCATTTGGAAATGTTTCTATAATATTCCCTTTCGAGTTGACATTTGAAAATTGACATTTTCATTGCCTTTTACAGAGAAGATGGTGAATTAGAAGATGGTGAAATAGATGATGCAGGATTTGAAGAAACACAGGAACAGGAAGCAAAAGAGGATGAAAAGCAGAAAAATGAGAAAGCCTACCGAAAATCAAGGAAAAAACACAAGAAAGAAAAAGAGAAGAAAAAGTCCAAAAGGAGAAAACGTGAGAAGCATAAGGTTAGTTAGAATCTATTTTTTGTTTCTTTGGTAAATTTTTATGAAATGTAAAACACTACACTGAAAATTAGAAAGTATAAATCATTGCCTATTTTCTTATAAAATACATGAATTAGATCTTTTGATTTATGTGCTTAATAGATTTTCTGAATATAAAGATTATATGATATATCTTAAAGATTTAAAAATAAGGTAGTTTTAATACAAATTAGAATAAACCTTTTAAATTGATAGAAGATTGTGTGCAAGAATACTGAAAGCTTAAGGAAAGAAAATTTCTTTCTCCACAGATGTAGATTGTCAGCACTGGCCTTGTTTACCCATTCATTTATTTATTCATTCATAAGTATTACTACATGCTTGCTGTGGAAATCTTCGTGCTGTATGCTGGGGGTTACAGTAATGAATGAAACAGTCTCTGCTCTTACAGAGCTTACACTGAAACGAGGAGGAGAGAGGCATGGAGCAACTGAAAGCCAAATGCTACCAAGAGAATAGCTGAGTGCTGGATACAGCATGGTGTGGGTCAGGGCTGAGCAGAGAGACCTTATACTGACAGAGAACTGAAGTTGGCAGTAGTAGTGGGGTGATTTTTCTAAACTCCCTGAATTTCCCCCATAAAAACAGAGCAGTTAGGATGGCAAAACCAAGAATGCATTGGCAACATACTGAAAAATGAAATAACAAGTTACCTCCACAGACCTCAGAAATACAAAAGGATAAGGCCAAACCATAGACCAAGACTAGAGTAGGATCAGCAGCTGTATGAAATGAAGCAGAGAAAAGGTAAAGAACCTTCCATAAAACAGATTACCAACAGGTATTCATCTCAAAGAGTCCCCAGTGAATGTGGAGAGCCTGTTGGCCAAACTGAGAAACATCAGTGGAAACTGAGAGGGGACTGTATTAGTTTCCAGTTCACGTGTGAGTATAAGGTGACCAGGTAAAATTGGATGGTGCTGGAATGGTCTGGGTCTGATGAACTCATAATGCTGATCAACTAAATTTCTTCTAGAACAGAGTCCCACCCTGAAGAGATAGCTGCTGGGAGTTGAATCTAGCTTGAGAGGATGGGAATAATAGGGCTAAGGAAAGAAAAATGGGTTAGAGAGCAGGGGTGGCTTATCTCAGAACATACGTAGCCATATTTTTTCATGCTTCATGCTAACAACATGAGAGTGAAGCTGAGACAGTTTTCCTGGTCCGTTCTTCCTTTGATACCTGAGCAACAAGATTGGGCCATGATCACATTCCATATAAATTACTATTATTAAAAAAAAAAAAGGTAAGTGGAGAGAATAACATTCTTCCAGAAAAGAAAGAGTGCCCCCAAAGCATGAAAAACTTAACCTAGTGTTTCAAAATGATTTTTAAAAATTACGAAAATACAAACTATGATCAGATAGCATCAGTAGAATTTGCAGGGGGATCCTTTGATCATTTAGGCAAAAAGACCAAGTCACTTATTAAGAAAGGAAAATCAGATTTATAAAAAAATTTTTGATGTCACTATTTTGTGCCAGAAGATCATGGGGTAACATATTTGAATAAAATATGAGCCAAGCATTTTATATCCAGGTACATACCAAATTTCAAATATAGTGTCCTCAGAAAAACTGTATATAATAGAAATCAGGAAATAGTGTCATAAACATTTGCATAAAATCTACTAGAGAACAAGTTCAGATATCCAGAATGACTGAGTGATAAAGCAAGAGTGATCTATATACACTACATATTTGTCTATAAAACTAAAAATAAATAATGAACATAAGCAGGGCAGAATATTATGTATCGAAACATTACGGCTATAGAAGGTGTCAGGAAAAGCAGAAGAATATATGGTAAGCAAGATAACTTTATTGGTAGCTTTATACTTATTAACTGAGAGTTTTAAAATATACTTCAAATTATTATCCTGAGAATGAAAGAGAGGAAAGAGAAGAAGAGGTTACTGCCTAATTTCCACATTAGTTCTTCTAGTAAACAAATAATATGCAAAGAAGGGATAGGGACTCAGGTTATTGGAAAAAGGCAGTCTGAAAGAAGTAATTGAAACAAAACTATAATCTTCCAAATACCACAAGATACACTCCCCAACAATGCAAAATCTAACTCTTAGCTATGTAACAGAGAATGATTTTTAAAAAATGGGTAAAGAAGTACCAGGCAAATGCAAAGAAAGAGAAGGCAGAAGTCACAGTGTTGATATAGTCAAGGAACTTCCCCGGCGGTCCAGTGGTTAAGACTCTATGCTTCCAATACAGGGAGCATGGGTTTGATCCCTGGTCTGAAAACTAAGATCCTGCCTGCTGTAGGGGTGTGGCAAAAGAAGAGTCAAATTTAGGTCGAGAAGGCATTGAACAGAGTGCAACGTTGAGGTGGGTAGAGGGCGGGGGACTCAAGAGGGAGGAGACACACGTATACTTGACGGTTGATTCACATTGTATGGCAGAAGCCAGCACAATACTGTAAAGCGCGTATTCTCCAACTGAAAACAAATCTTTTATAAAAGGCATTGAAAGAAACAAAGAAGGGCATTTTATAACGTTAAGGATTATAATTCACAATGAAGCTATGTTGTTAATATTTTATATTCCCTTAAACATCAATTTTCATAAAATAGGAACTATAGGAACTATGAGAAGAAATAGGAATAGTAGTAACAGGAGATGCATTAGTAACTGCTCTTATCCCAAAGATATCAATCAAATGGATGAAGAGATGATAAGGATATTAAAGAAATATTATAAATATATATTAAGCTCTGAATCCTGAGAATATATCTTCCTCTCAAGTATACTTGGAATACTCATAAAAACAGACCATGGGAAAAAAAAACCCAGGCCATGTCGTAGGCAACAAACTCCAGTGAATTCAGTAGAGTAGAAATAATATAAAGAGCAATCTCAAACCATAATGCAATAAAGTAAGACATTAATAACAAAGTCAGAAACCAGAAATGCCTTTGAACACAGATTAAAACTGCAGGATTTCAGGAATATAATTATAAAACTTTGACATATGAAGGATAGCTAAAAACTTATCAGAAGAAAAATTACTATGGTATTAAAATCTGGAAAACAGCAAAGAGAGAAACAAAAAGGAAGAGCTTAAAAGTTACAAGCAGAATTTAACAAATTAAAATGCAAAGTCAGTTTTACAAAAAAAGATCAGCAAGATATATAAATTATTGGCCAAACTAGTCAAGAAAAAGGAGATGCAAAAACAAAGTTAGATATTTTGAGGCTAAGAACTTTTAAAACCATCATGCCCTGGTTCCTTTTTAACAGTTCTTCATTTAAGTTATCCATCTTCCCTCATAGAGAGGTACTTTCAACATTTTGCTTGAAAATCTTAACTAGTTCATTAGCTTATTTTCTACTTTCCATTTTACTGAATGTAACAATGTTGCTAGATTTAGGCCACTATACAAGGAAGGTCTCCCTTTTGCCACTCCTTTATTCACTTTTGACTGTGCTGGGTTTGTGGCTGCATGGGCTTTCTGTAGTTCTGGCAAGTGGTGGCTGGGGCTGCAGTACACAGGCTTCTCATTGCAGTGGCTTCTCTTGTGTAGCACAGGCTCCAGAGTGCTCGGTCTCAGTAGTCGTGGCCCCCAGGCTCTAGAGCACAGGCTTAGTACTTGTAGCACTCCGGTTTAGTTGCCCTATAGCATATGGAGTCTTCCCAGACCAGGGATCAACCCCCTGTGCCACCAGGGAAACCCCTCCACTTTTAATAAGATATCTCTCTCTTTCCTTTAAGTTACCCCAAAGTTCAAAATTTTACTAATGATCATTAAGGGTGATCTAGGCTTTCACTCTCACATCCATACATGACCACTGGAAAAACAATAGCCTTGACTCGACGGACCTTTGTTGGCAAAGTAATGTCTCTGCTTTTTAATATGCTGTCTAGGTTGGTCATAACTTTCTTTCCAAGGAGTAAGTGTCTTTNCAGGAGGAGAAGGGAACGACAGAGGATGAGATGGCTGGATGGCATCACCGACTCGATGGACATGAGTTTGAGTAAACTCCGGGAGTTGGTGATGGACAGGGAGGCCTGGCGTGCTGCGATTCATGGGGTTGCAAAGAGTCGGACGCGACTGAGTGACTGAACTGAACTGAACTGAAATGAGGCTTTCACTAGTGCTTCCTAATGTCATTCCAGTATCTATTCCTTGCCTGATTCCAAAACCAGTCCTGCCTTTTAGATGTTTGTACTGGCAGCACCACATTTCCAGAATCTGTATTAGCTAACTATTGCTGCACAGACTACTCCAAACTTAGAAGCTTAAAACAATGAGTTTGCCTCTCTGTTTCTGTGGGTCAGAAACGTGGGTGTGTCTTAACTTGGTGATTCTGGCTCAGCACTTCTTGTGAGGTTGCAGTCATCTCCTCTTCCAAGTTCAGGCGTGAGGCTCTCGGCAGCCTCAGCTCCTCCCCATGTGAACCTCTTTACGTGTCACAGCAGCGTCCTCATGGTTTGGCTCACTTCCTCCAGAGCAAGTGAGCCAACAGTGAGAGAGCAAGTGAGAGCACCCATGATGACAGCTACAGTCTTCTTAACCTAAGCACTTTGGACAAGTTCTGTTGACTAGACACAAGCTTCTAAGTTTAGGCCTCACTCAAGGGGAGAAGAATTAATCTTTATCTCTTGAGGACAGGAGTAATTTGTGGACTTTACCTTTCAAACTACCATTCAAGAATAGATAGGAAAACCCCCAAAGGAGGAATATGTGGCGTGACCCTAACATATTAAAGCACATTAACGCCTCTGTCATTAAAGCAGTGTGATACTGGTACATGGAAAAATAGACAGTGAAACAGAGAACTGTTTTCCTCATTTGTGGTAGATTTTGAAGGACAGGTAGGAATTAGTTGTTTGACCGAAGAGACACAAAGAATACAAAAGCAAAAAGGTGTGAAAAGGCTGCCATGTTCAGGGAAGTCACTGAGGTCTCTAAATTCTTTGTGTCACTGAATCTTTGAAGGGTTCCC